TAGTCTGAATTGACCTGGTATTGTAATAAATAAAACATTAAAATTACATTTGTAAAATATTTTTCTGTATTTAAACAATATGTAAATATGTTCCGTAGACTTAATTTTCCTTTTAACTAACATTCTAGGTGACTAGTTCGACGGTCGAACGACAAATCATCTGATTCAGATCATAAACTAAAAGGAAAATTTATTGTTATTTTATCAGGATAGTAGATTAGGTTAGGTTTTTTTTAATTAAGTGGAAAATCATTGATTTTCTTCTCCCAAACTACCTCGTGAGATGTCATGAGTCCGAGTGTCAAACTCTTTCTGACTAATAAAAACACCACTGTTCCTTTTCCTGCTCTAGGCCAAGGCCACGGTACCTCATTGCACTTACCCTGTAACCCCGGCTGGACATCAGCCATATATATATATGTAGTATCCCATCTGTGATGGTACTGCATCGAAACGCAATCAGTAATAAACAGTACGGTACCGTGAAATTTTTAATGTCTTATTAAGTTGTTGACTGCGACACATAACGATTCCATGAGGACTTTAAAAACTGAGTTTTTTTTTACTGATTATGAAAACATATTAAGCTTTGCTTAGTTCGTAAACTAAACTCATGAGTGAACAAGGCTCAGAATGCAGTCCTGAAAACTCCTACACATCTAAAATGGAATGTTAAAAAACTGTTCAACAGACATTTTATATTGTTCGTTGATTTCGAGACGTTGTCTACTTAAACGTGAATCCGATTTGAAATTACCAGCAAGTAAGGAAATAGGAAACGTACAAATCACGATATTTTCCAAGCTATTACAGTCATTGCATGCACTCATCTGCATCCCACCACTTAACCAATGAACCTTATTTCTCACTGAACAGATTCAATAGAGGAAGCCCCGGAGTTTAAGGCATCCGCTTCTTACGCATGAGGGTGCGAAACCAGGCAAGTTCCAATTTGACTTTTTCTCAGTTGTATTATGTACTTTCTGATCTTTTTTAGACACTAACTTGTACCTTCGTCATATTTACATTCAGTGTATTACGTGTTCACTTATAATTTTTAATTAAAAGTCGTCGAAATCGCCAATCTGTCTATACGTCCGGTAATGAACGTTCATTCTTTCTCCATGTGAGACGACAGCAGATGTGGGCCTTTACGGGCGGATGATGTTGGTGAAGATTCTTTATTTATTTACACTTATTTTGTTTTTCATTACGTATTTATTTTTGTACCAAAATAATGAATTCGTAATAAAAAGTTTCACAGTTTAAAATGATAGCATAAATACGAATCGTCGATGCGTTAAAACGGACGTTTTGTGTAAAAAAAATAAAAAAGAGGTTTTAATTTCAAAGCTCGGCAATTATGAATTAATGTAAACAAAGCTGCAAACTTTGTGAAACAGTTTTTATCACAAAACTGTTTGCTAACACGATTATTTCATTCTGTTTCTAGTTGATTATTTATTAGTAAGTCTGTCTGACTTGGCCAGAGCATAGTATGACTAGTTTTCTATCTTTTTTATAGGCAAACGAGTAGACAGTTGACTTGATGGCAAGCAAGCTAAGGAAATCCGCAATATCGTAAGATTGGACAAGCCTTGCCGACACTTTGGGTGTTAGGAATTTGAGGTTTGGGGATGTGGTGATTGTACAGGGAGGGGTTTGGGTTAAACACAACGCAATTGTTGCTTCACGCTAGTTTTCTGCGAGGCCGTAGCGTCAGTATAGTCAAGTCGGTCCATTCGTGCGTCAGTCTGTCTGAAGCTTTTAACAGAGTGTCGAAAGGGTCATATCACTTGCGTAGTATTACACATCGTTTTGTCATTAATATTATAAGGCTTTAATTATTATAAGAAAAAAACGTTTCAGTCCTTATAAATGTAGTATAGATATAAACTTAGTAAAGATATGATTTTTACATTAATTTATAAATCTATTTATAAACTAACCTATGCTAAAAATGGCGTATCTACATGTTTTATAATTGCCGCTACATTGAAACTGTTAGGTGTCATTATGAATATTTAAGCAAAAAGCAAACAACGTTCTGATACGATCGTCATGCTTTTATGTTGAATAAAATTCCAGACAAAACTATTAACACTTTTAGTCGACCTGGTAATTTAATCTAAGACTTAAAAGTCCGTGTTTGCCGTTATACAAAAGGGGCGACAAACTCCCAAGTAATTTCCACTGTCTTCTTCGTTTAACTAATAGAGTCGCTTATATTAAATAAATTTGTTTTGTTCGCTGTTTTAATTTCATTTTAGTCCTTTTTTTGTTTGTTTTAAGCCGAACCCGAGTGCCGACTCCGAAGGTAATATAAACTATGACATGAAAAATGTTGAAGAACAAAACGTCTCGTTATATTATACTCTGTTAAAGTGAAGGATATAATGTTATGTGTAATTTGTTCGTATATTTTTAATAAAACTTAGTATTTATTGTACGAAATTTATTTATCAAAGTTTTTTATTTATTTCAGTATATTTTCGAAATATTCTGTAATAAAGTACCTAGTCATTCGCGATTTTATATTAGTGTCAGAACTTAAAATATGCATGCTTTGTCTTTCTAAAGTTTTAAACCAGGTTCCGATTTCCATCATTTTAACCGTTTAAGTTAGTATACGCTCTAAAACCATACGACATCATACATATACATATATAGTTTAAAAATAAATAATCAACTATCTATAAAAGTAAATGGAATTTTCTACAAAACTGAAAACTATCCGTAAGTAATTAGCCAAGTAATATGCAAATATGATATTGAGTAAGAGCAACCATGAAGCTGGAGTTCATTATGCACCACAATACAGACGGTTGATTACTTCCGACCGCAGACACGGTCGCCATTGTCACGGTCGACATAGACACTTGCGCTGTCTTTAATAACGTTAAACTTGTGTTCGCTCTGATTGAATGTATTTCATTTCTTCATTTGATGGTTAAACACCGAAATTTATATTTTGTTTCATAGTTAACCTCTCAATCGTGGCAATTTGAGACATTAGATAAACATCAGGTGCGTATACGCAGGCGTTTACTTGGGGTTTAATGAATTGGAGGTACTTTCTGCCCCGCACTGCAAAGCTTTAGAATGATCTTCCGGCGGCGGTATTCCCGAACCGATACGACCTTCAAACCTTCAAGAAACGAGCGTACTCCTTCTTAAAAGACCGGCAACGTACCTTTGACTTCTCTGGTGTTGCAGGTGTCCATGGGCGGCGCCGATCGCTTACCATCAGGGGATCCGTCTGCTCGTTTGCCTCCTACTCCATAAAAAAAATCTATCTTCTGGACAAAACATCTATCTAAATATTAAATATGAATTTTAAAAGGTGTTGGTAAGCGCATTAACTCAACAATGGCGTCTGGATCTATTTAGCCAATTCTTTTTTTGTTGTGTTTATTATTGTCAGAAGATAATTCTAATAAAAGCAATCTTGAAAATTAACTTAGAGTGAATATCATCGAATTACGACCTTTTTGTCGTCAGTGAGGTAGTTGGACACATTGCAATCATGTTAAGCAGAAGCAGCTACTAAAATTTAATAAATTTTTACTTAACGTCAATACAAACCACCTGGATGGGAATTGCCGGTTCTGATGAGTAAAATAAACATGTAGTTTTAGTATAAAATGTAACAATAAAACTATTAAATTGTAAAAACAAATAAGTACTTTAATATACAAAATATATGTAGATAAAATAATTCTACTGGCGAACAATTAATTACCGATACAAAATTAAATTGTATTTTCTGACTTTTACGTCCGGTTATTGTTGACATATAATATAAAACCAAATTACGATTAGGTACTTAGTGAAAACGCCATGCCTTTATCTCACACGTCTATGGACGTAGTTATCTAATTAATAAAAAATAGAGTATTTAACATTCATAATATGTTTGTTTTTAGGATTAGAAAAGAAATTGAAATATCTTTCCATTTAGTATTTTTGTGTCATATAGGGTTTACTTTTCAACCGTTTCATATTAAAACACTAACCGCCAGTTTCTGAAAGGCTTGTCAACGCTAAAATTAACTAATCTCCTGTTAAATCTCTTGTCAAGTCATCTGATTGGTTGTTGATAATTCAGTCAACCAATCAGATGACTTGACAAGAGATTAAATTGATTTTAACATTGATCGGCCTTTCGGAAACCGGGTGTAAGACTCAATGCTCAAAACTGGTAGGATTATAAGTTTGTAAAAAATAAATAAAACAATTTGTTACCCGAGTCTTAGATCAAATATGCAATCGATAACGATTTTGAATATCACAATTTCAACTAAAACTTTACTATAAACCAATATCAGTTCACATTACTTCTCGCCTCAAACGTAATTACGAAATGAACGCCAAATAACATTATCCCCACTTACCATTTCCAATTTCACACGTAAATATTATTTTAATGTAGTTTTGGTCGACGGATTAACAGCCATGCCCACAGTGCTCACACAGACAATAAAAATAGAAATTATACGTAAATACCGCTGTCACATTATTACGAAGCTCCGTTGCTTACATTTTTAGTAAAAATGTAAAAATTATTTGATGTTTAGGTGAGATTTAATGGTTTTACAGGTTTTTATTTTTAAAGTAGCTTTTACTCACTTTTTCGAGGTATTTATTTATTTCCGACGTAGATTCCCTGTAGCGGTAAAATTGGTATAATACGATGGCCGAATATTTTCCGTTCGCAATCGAAAATACTTATTGTTACAAAATTTATGTAAAATATACTGTCAAAACACTGTACCTAACTGAAATATTCAGGAAAAAAACTGGAAAAAGACAGAGATAAAGTAAATATGTGTACAGTTACTTTCATCGCCAAATTACGCTTAGAATAAAACATTCAGTAACTTTTAAAAAATATTTAAAATAAGAACACGTTCCAAAAGAAAAAAATGAAATAAAATTTTCCTTTGAAAAATATAAAGCGGTAAGTAAAAAGTAAAAACTAAAACATGACATGAGCTCACCTTTTCGCTCCCTGCCACCGTCGTGTCTAAACACTATGGGTCGGTTGTGCTCCCGTCGCCACAACACGGTCGGCGGTGGCACCCCTGTTGCGGTGCACGTCAATCTTATACTCCCGCCCTCTTGTGCCGAGCTACCCTCCGTCACACTGTCCACTATGTCCGGCGGGATCACCACGGATAAATGACCCATCTGACAAAAATAATTGTCCTTGTTACACTTTATTAGTGGAGTCTTTTGTTTTGTTGGTGGGATGAGATTAGGGGTGGTATAATAATGTACTTTATTCAAGATGATTTCGAGTTATTTTTTTTCAGAGTTTCATTGGATTTATAACAAAACCTTCTTTAATAACAAATAGTGATAATAATATAGTCAACTTTTTGGGTAACACTATTATGTGACCTAATTTGACAATTTTTTTGCGGTGATCAAATCTGCTAAAAACAAATGGTTTCTGAAAGGTTTGTAAAAAATAAATAAACCGCTAGAGCGCAGGTTGCGGTATTTGCAGTTTAGACCGCATAACCGCCATATTTGATCCAATCAATCGCCATTTTAATTAATCACAACAGATTATACTTATCCATCTATACAAACACAAAGACTAATTTCATAAATTCAATTGATATTGAGTTGCGGTGAAAATTAATTTCGCCCTAATTTGATAAACACCTAAATTCATCGCTCGCGTTTTGAGGTAATTACGTGCTTAAATATTTGGAGAGGATTACACCATGTATTTAATGTAAAATGAATAAACCTAGCCGGCGCGCCTTGAAAAGTAAAATAAACCGCTGTATAATCCTTGACGCCATCGCCGTAACTAGTTAGATGTAATACCCTCTCTTGTTTTACTTTACTTCGATGTTGAATACACTGTTTATTTTGTCAGGATACTCGCTCTTATTTAGGTCATGCAACTAGAACAGTGTATAGTTATCAAGGAAATAATGTTCAAATACTACGAATACATTAACACTTATTGCAAATTCTCGAAGCACAACACGTGCTGAATGGAATTCTTATTTCTATACAGCTTTTATGTATACTTTAATGTTTTGTTGTAAGTTTTCCGTTATTGATTTCTGCAAAGCACTTAATCAGGCGTTCACTCGCCCTAGCAGAGAATTCCATTATAATTTATTGGAAAATGAAATAAGTGCTTGTTGCACTCGCTGCTTGATTGAACACTCTGTGTTGTTGCACAACTTCACAACTATCGTTATGTTCACAACGTTCTCTTTTAAACGAAACAAATGCTATCTTGAAATGTAACATTTAAGTTTTGGAGCGCTCTCTGCGAAATAACTTCTTACTTTGTAAAGTCAGACGGCTGTATGCGACAAAGTGTAGCTTACCTGACTCTTCATAGGGTCTGTGTTAACTTGGCACATGTAGGTGCCAGAGTCGTTGGCCTGCACGTTGCTTACGTGCAACTTCCACGTATTGTGGTTGTTGTATGTGACGCTCAGCCGAGGATTCAGCGCCACCATATTCGTGTGTATTGCCAGAATCGCCTTCGAGTCTGACTTAATCCACGCCACCTAAAAATAATATTGTCATTATTTCACAGTTCGATCAAAGCCTTATTGGATTCCTTATAATCGGTAGCGACAATATAAATATTGACGACGAGACAATACAGACAGAATTGGCTCCATGTTGACACAGAGATACTATGTACATATTTTTATAAGAGAAACGCTATCATGAAGTTTATAATCAAAGTCAAGAGCATTTTGAAACGCTCGGAAGCTAAATTTAACAATGCAATTAGAGCGGGTGTCTACGAAACAAAACGGTTCTGTACGGTTGCATACAAGCGTGAAATTTCATTTTATATCTAGGATTAATGTCATAAATCGCTCGCATTTCCCCGGAGCTCTCGCGAGTTTTAAATCGTTTGTATTGTTCACAGTGAAGACGAAACTTAATGTGACTTAAAAGCTGTAGCAAATGTAAAACTGAGGGTACGACACGTGAAATTGTGGAGAGTTTCGCGGGAGGAATGCGCGGTGTCTCATCCGCGTCGCACCCGAGCATTTTTCATGTGACATCTCGCTTTGTTGTGGTTGGAAAATAAATTAGTAACAATTTCATTGTTTGTGAGAATTATTTCCGTCGAGTTTCAGCGTAAGCGCGGCTAGTGCTGCCGGCTGAATGCGAGCACTTGTCGCAACTACCACTTTTTGTTGCGAGTACAAGCTTTCATAGTTAGATGTTTACATACTGTTCCATTTGAGTTATAGACACGATTTATGTTTCGCGGTTTGCGAGTTTAAAAGTTAATGAACGCATTTATTAGCTGTGGATTTATGTGTGTAACTTGTTTTTTTTTAATGTTACGTTTAAAAGTTTTTAATAAATGAATGTGTACTGCTATAAAATAAACTTCATTGTACACCTTAAAGAAGTTTGTAATATCCATTTAAGAATAGAAAAATAATTTCTTCCAATGCACCAATAAAATATTTTTTTACTATTTGAAAATATTATGAGGCTATTATTTAACAGTTGAAAATATTCAAGAATATAAAAATAAGACGATAAAAAGTAAAATGTTAAAAAAAATCTACAATGACAGTACTGATCCATACTTTTAGCCTCTGCAAATGGAACCTTATTGTTCAACACGTAAGGTTTCATATTTATAAACCTTAAACTGCCATTACAATGGGAACTGCAGTATTATGCTTTATTTTACTAACATTTGAATTTCATAGCTCAAAGCGCTACTAACGAACTGTAAGGCATAATTGTGCGAGAAAATATTAAGGCTAAGTTTGCGTTTCCTCATATTACCTACATCGTAATTTTTTTTTCACACATTATGGGAAAGATTCAAAGAAAACGATTTTAAGTGGTTCTCGTGTGATTTTAGTTCGCTTTAAATGGAAGGTTTTGCTGACATAGGCTGTACTTTTTAAAGGATGTTAAAAATTGTTAAGACTAAATTCGGGTAGACTAAAAAACAGAGTATCACCTAACTACATACCAAATTTCATCAAAACCGGTGCAGCCGTTTTTGCGTAAAAAAACTAACAAACATACACCCATACATTCTCACAAACTTTCACATTTTATAAAATAAGCAGGAAGTAGGATACGTCAGAGTCGGTTTTGGTACCACTTTTAACAGAGGTGTTATATACACCTACTTTGGATCGCTAAGGTAACGGAGTATGTAAGTATGATGTAAGGATTACAAGAAGAAGTTCTCTGGTTTTACATGTGTAATGCTGCTCTTGAATATAAGCTGGTAGTGTGGCCTGAAACTAGTTTCTGGTTAAACAATTCCGTGAGTAAATCGTTAGAACATTGGCTCTCCCACACTAACATACATACATATAATCTATACTAATATTATAAAAAGGTAAAATTTGTAAGTTTGTATGTAGGGAGTAAGGTTTGGGACCGCTGGTCGGATTGCCAAGATTCTTTCAATTATAGTAAGATACAATGTTCCTGAGCTAGGCTATAAAACATCACGCTACGATCAAAAAAAGCCCAGCAGCAGGTGAAACCGCGCGAGATATCTAGTCTATTATAAAGTATATTCTAACTAAGCCTTTTAACATAATAACTAAAACTAAAATATAATGCTATGAAAAAAAAAGATTGAGTAAAAATCCTCTTATACCATACGTAACAGCTCCCATTTACTTGACCAATAAAGAATAACAGATTGTAACATTTAGTGCAACTATTTTACAGGTAACTAAACGCCTAGAGCGGTTAACAGAGGTACTTAATCATTCGTCTATTAAGATGAATGTTGGCATTCGGTGCGCTCAAGTTGCCCCAATAGATTATGTTCTGTTCTCAGTGACAGATGATGTTATACGACACTGTATTACAATTTAATTAGGTGACTAGCTTGTTAATGGGGTTTTACTCGTGTTCTTGGCGTAGTCCAATCTTGGGTGTGTTTGTTCCATGTTTTTGAAAGGAACAATTTTCTTAATAAACGATCTGATTTTTGTCAAGGGAAAATCATCAAAGGATTTCTCCCGTCCAGGGTAAGGAAAGAAGAAAGAAAGAAAGGAAAATCGTTTATTCGGTACAACACCAGGCACAAACTAAACAATGCAAACAAAAATAACTGTGAATAAAAAAAGAAAGTTATGGTAAGGCGAGAGAGAGTGTGCGACTCTTAACTAACTAAAAACTCTCCCGTTCCTTCTCTTACTCTGGGCCGAGGCGGCGGTGCCTCAAAACGATAAATAATGAGTACTTATCTTCTTTGATGAATAATAGTATTTCTCACTACCAGCTTCACAAGATATGGCGGTATCACAGAAAACCGTCGTAAAACAATGCTTATGTACATTTTGTGTAGTCGTATGCGTGAGGTTACCGGAGGCCTAATATTTTCCTCTTCCTAAAGGCCACTAACTTAGTAACAGTTTTATATTTTAGTGTTCAGGATTTGCGTTCATTGCTTACCATCAGATGATTCGTCAACTTGGTTGGACCGCAGTTACATAAAATATCAAGTAGTAGCTACGCTTCCGTCATGCAAACCCTACCCTACCCTACCTATCTTAATCTACCCTACCCTACCTATCCTAACCTACCTTTCTCTACCTATACTACCCATCTCTGCCCTAGCTACTTTATTTTATTACATGTCCTTCTTCCACTTCTTAGCTACCTCTCTACGAATTTTTTCGTTCTTGTATTATAAATAGTGTAATACGATGACGACACGATAGATAGATTTAAAAATACAAAAATACTTTTAAGACCATTAATCTTATTCTAAAGGAACTTTTGAAGATATTTAACATTTTACTGTAACTTAGGTGAAGAATAAAACACTACGGAAGTGAATTTTATTATACTGAATATGATTTATTATGAATAATGAGGTCTAGTCTAGAATAACTTTTATCACGGCGTACGAAATTTTGTCCGATATTTGGTATAACTATAACTTTATTTTTCTTATCCTAAAATAGGATTATTAAAAAAATATAAGATTTTTATCCTGTATCGTGGGTGTGTTTACAAACAAAGTCTTTTACATATACATAACGCCCAGACATGGCACAACAAAATAATAACGGATCACCCAAAGAGTAATTCCGTGTGGGAATCTAATCCACGACACGTTGTGTGGCTAGCAGTATCACAGAAACTATAAGCATTTTATTAGCAACATTATGAAAAAAGTGACGCTGGAATGAGTAGGTATAATAATAGGTCTGTACTTTGGGCATTTTATTTCTATTCACGCGATAGCCCACAGCCACGACACATTTTTGAAGCTGCGCTATAAGAATGTCTTAATATTCTATCTTTTAAAACATAGTAGTAACATGAACAGAATTCAAGTGTAGATGTGCAAAATCCTTCATAGATTACAAACTTTATGATGGATGATATACATTTCAGTTGGATGCAACGGAGTGTGGACCACTTATTTCATGCTCGGCTAGACAACTGGTGCACGTTGGTTTTTGTTACAGATATGCTCCATAAGAGCCTGTTGTCTCTGTTCTTGCTCACACATGTCTATCCTATGCCCTTTTTTGAATTACGAACGTACCTAGTATATAGACTTTAACGTACTTATTTAGAATGCCGTGTTATTCTGATTTATGTACAAGATGTATATGGAAGGAAATAAACAACTTTTATGATTTAACAGGTATTTTTATTTACTAACATAATTTTTATATTTAAATACTTTCTTAAAAAATAAAGTAATTAGCAGTATTCCAACTATAACGGGAGGTGTCCCGACCATGGTCATGGCCAGAGCTCCAGGGAAAGGATACTTCAGTCGCCGTTTCCAGAAGTACCAAAAGTTCTCTGCATCAGTCTCTTGACCCAGCCATCTAGTGTAATCCTACTCAGGTATTGATCGAGGCTTTTAGTTATGCGGCCATTGGTAGACAATAACAGGAATAATTATTACCATATCAAATAATAATACATATAATCTTCTAGCTAATCTAGCTTCTGACGAAATGTGCTATTCCTGACTGTAATCTATATCTGAGCATCATTTTGTTCAGAAGGTCAGAATTTAGACTCTGAACGGCTGTTCAGTAGTTTAAACGTGAAATAGTAACAAACATCCATTGATCCATCTATAATTCCAATCTTTCACGTTAATAATTAGTAGCACATATACTTATTATATTAGTACTCTAAGTAATATACAATATACTTTAGTGATATGTAATACCACACCAGATAGTATATATTAAACTTGGAGTTACTATGCCAACGTCTTACATTATACAATCTCTATCCTCTTCAAAATATTGTATGTACAATACATTCAGAATAACTTTTCCTAAATGCTATAAAACGGCAATATAAAAAGTAACATTTTCTTAAAGAAAACTCAACAGGAAAGTGTGCCTCAAAGTTTGGTAACAATTTCACCAAACAATTGTCTTGTCCCCGCTTCTCTTTCAGGATAATCCTTCAGAGATTTTATAAGATATTCCAGTTTCCCCTCTGAATCCGTGTCAAATCCTTTCAACCAACAATATACCACAATGCACTCTTCGGAATGTCCTTTTGTATCCAAGAAATAAAAATGTATTTGACGTACTCACTACTTTAAGTGTGAAAGTAAACGAATCGCCGGATAAGAGATTTTTTTATGTAAGTAAGTAAAATAATTTGATTTTGTCTTCAGCTTAACTATGAAACCGCTATTACCGTATCTCAAATAAATAATTAAAAATAAAACAGCTATGATAATTGTTGTTGATGCCAATGATAATATAATTTATTTTTTAAACTTTTGATAGATGAAAAACCATTTAAAAGTATAACCGAAAATTATTTGTATGAAATGAATAAAAAAAACTGGAACATGTAATTATTTGTGTTTTACGTGGTTACAGATTGCATCGCGGCGTGGCAATGTAGCGATGAAGTTTCGTCTTTGGCCGACACAGAACATATTTTAGTAATAAATTTGGCTTACCCTATAATTTGATAGATGGTTGACGACACATGTGAAGTGTACGTCTCTTCCTTGTGTGACTGTGTGGTTTTCTAGAGCCTGAAGAAACTCAGGTTCTAGTTCCGCCTGAATCGGCATTTCACCTGAAATAATAAATATAATATTATAATTTATATATTTTTTTAATTGTAACTATCGTGAGACATACCTTCTAAATTAATTGAAAATAATGACTGACTTTCGTGAAATCAATAATAAGTTATACAATAAGAGTCCCGTTGTGACTTGATACTTGTGGAGCTTTTCTCAGTGATTTCAGATGAGTAAGTCGTTTTATTCAATCAATTATTTGCACCATCATCGGACAAATATAATATGTCTCTGTTTATGATATATATGTAGGTCTCTCTTATTACTTCACGCATTTGCAACCCTTTTTATATGTGATAGGTCGGCAAACGAGCATACGGGTTACCTGATGTTAAGCAATCAGCTCCGCCCGTAGACACCCGCAACAACAGATGAGTTAGGAGTACGTTGCCGACCATTTGCAGATTAGGGATTTAGAGATTTAGCGACTGGGAAAAATTGGGGAAGGGAAGGATTGAGCCTCCGGTTACCTTAATCACACGGCGAAATACAACTCTATGGTTGTTTCACGCCGGGTTTCTGTGAGGCCGTGCTTTCACTCCGGTCGAGCCTTTTTTGATGGGGAAAAATCGATTGGGAAACATCAAATGATTTCGGTTTTCGATGAAGTGTCAAACTCTTACTGATTAAAAACTATCCCGTTCCTCCTCCTGCTACTTGTACCCGCAATTACGGCTGGCACTTACATCCTCGCAGTTAGGTTACTAAAGATTATACGCACAGAGGGAGGCGGATCGAGTTCGGGAGCAATCCTCCTTCTCACGCCCCAGCCGCAGCTGCAGGCGACACTCGGGTCGTCGGGGATTAAGAGACGATCTCCGGCCACCGTAAGCGCGGGTCTGGACGGCGAGTAAGGGTAGCTCGCCGAACTAGAGCTGAGTGTACGGCGCGTAGCGTTCCACGTGCGCCTTTAAGAGCCAATAGACCACCACAAACGGGGCCCTATAGGGCTGATGTTCAGCCGGGGTTGCGGCCTAGAGCAGGAGAAGGAACGGGGTTTTTAGTCAGTAATAGTCTGACACTCCCTCCCGCTCTACCCTGGGTGGGCGAAGAAAATTCTATAATTTTTAACTTCACAAAAAAAACATCTTTAGGCAATTCTTCGACTTAAATGGGCCGACTCAACCGAGGTACTACGACCTTACAGAATAGCCGCGTAAGATAACGCTTGCGATATTTTTGCAATTATTAAGTGATAGCCTTGCCAATTGGCCGCCCTTTCCCATAAAAAATATTTTTAGTACAATACCTATTACGGTAAAACTCTTATTAGCAAATAAATTATTTAGAGGTGACTCCCACCGCATATAAATGTCGAGTTTTATATGTATAATACGTTAACAAGCATTTATTTTTACACACGCATCATCATTAGCGGTACGTAGACATACGGTGAAGGTAAACATCGTGAGGAAACCTAGACTTATAATTTCTAATTATAAGTTTGGTATCGCCAACCCGCATTGAGCAAGCGTGGTGATTAATGCTCTAACCTTCTCCGTATGAGAAGAGGCCTTTGTTCAGCAGTGGGCACTTATAGGCTGATGATGATGATGATGATGATGATACATCATTAGCCTACAAGTGACCACTGCCGAGCAAAAGCCTCTTCGTACACGGAGAAGGTTTGAACATTAATTTAATTTATATATTACTAGCTTTTGCCCCAACTTTGTTCGCGTGGAATAGTGACTTCCTGCAGATTTTTTATTTAAAAACTATCCTATGTCCTTTCTCAAGTTCAAAACTATATCTGTACCAAATTTTACACAAATAGGTTCAGTAGTTTAGGCGTGAAGAAAAGACAGACATACAGACAGTTACTTTCGCATTTATAATATTAGATTGGATATTTTTTTTATATTATACCATTTATTATAATAATTATATAAAATTAATGTATAGCATATCTAATTAGAGCTTTCTGAATATATAGATAGACAATCTGTTTATTGATTTGTGTTAAAAATAAGTTTAACATGTAAGTATACCATCCGAGCGTAGTGTTCCGCGCGCGCCTGAAAGCGCTAAAACATGGAAGCTTATTGTTTGCGAATTCATAAATGTACTAATTTATTAAAATTTATCATTAGTATGTAGTCTGTAAGCTTTCATAAGCAATAGAATAAAATAAAATAAAAAGACAAGCATTGTTTTAGATGAAACGCATTTATCAGTCCGAATATTTCCTGTATTAGATATACCTAATAACTCTTAATTGTTACATAAAATACATTTTTTACGCTACTTTATTATTAAACATTAAAAGCAAAAGAACTTTAAATAAATTCCTCATTATAATACGATGACAAGAAACCATAAAATTATGATATAGTAGCGTAACTTATTTAATAAGCCAGAAAATATTGGCCAATATTATTTCAATGAAAGTAACCTCACGACCGTACTTAATTATCAATTAATTTAATTTCATCAAGGGCCCTGTAAGAACTACTTAGGCTGCTTCAAACACTTTTGTAATAAATTAATATTCAATTTAGTCAGCCTTTTTTTTTTTTTTTTTTTTGTCAGGGGAAAATCATCCAATGACTTCTCCCGCCCAGGGTAAGGCGAGAGAGAGTGTCAGACTCTTACTGACTAAAAACCCCCCCGTTCCTTCTCCTGCTCTGGGCCGAGGTCGCGGTGCCTCATTGCGCTTACCCCGCAGCCCCGGCTAAACATCAGCCCTTTAGGGCCCCGACTGTGGTGGTCTATTGGCTCTTTGAGGCGCGCGCGGAACGCTACGCGCCGTACGCTCGGGTCCAGTTCTGGTCGGGCGGCGAGCTACCCTTACTCGCCGTCCGCAGACCCGCGCTTACGGTGGCCGGAGATCATCCCTCGATCCCCGACGTCCGGAATGTCGCCTTCTGCGGCGGCTGGGGCGCGAGGAGGATAGTTCCCTCACGCGCTCCGCCTCCTCCTTTGCGAGCATTACTGCTTCGCAGAAGGAGGAGATAGCTTCCCAGTTCCTCTCACGCTGCACCATGGCCTCGATTAAGGCCGGGCGCGAGAGGTCGCTGCCGCCGATCACTTCCCTGAGAACACGGGGTGCTCAGCCCAAGCAGGGCACTCCGCCACCGTATGCTCCACCGTGTCCTCCAGGTGATCCTCACAATGACGACACTCGGGCGTTTCCTCCCGCTGGATCCGAAACAGGAACCTACCAAAGCTGCCGTGCCCGGTAAGCACCTGCGTCAGGCGGAAGGTGAGGACGCCGTGGCGTCTCTCAAGCCACTCCTCAAAGAGGGGTCTTACCGCTGCTATAGTAGCGTGCCCGGCCCTCGGTTGCGACAGTCGCTGCTTCCACTCAGCCATGAGATCTCGCCGGAGCTCATTCCGCCACGCACTAATTTGGCGCGGCATAGGATCCTCGCCCCGGCGACGCGCGTCTGCGCGCAAACTGTAGACGCGCGCAAGCGCCTTCGCTTCCAGATCCCATGGCGGTGATCCGGCAAGGAGGTTCGCCGCCTCCCCGGAGATTGTGCGATATCCGCGGATTATTCGGATAGCCATGACCCTCTGGGACGCGGCCAGCGTACGAGCCGGCCGCCGCTTCAAATCCGGCGCCCACACAGGGGCACCGTAGAGGGCCATGGATCGCACAATCCCCATGTACAACCTCCGGCAGGAGGCGTTTGGCCCCCCGAGGTTGGGAAGGAAATTTAGTCAGCCTGGAGTATTAACCTGTCGATGTCACGAAATGAAAAATTATTTTCGCAAAATTGGCTAAAGCGCCCTCTAGCGGTCACAACATAAGTTATATCACTTTGATACTAGGATTAGGGCTTTAATTAAAATTTCGTTTAAAAGTTAATTTCTAAATAACTTCACAGGCATCAACGTGAAATTGTTAATTAAATAGATATTTCGTAAGTTAGAACTATTTAATTCTGTGCAGTACATCTAGTGAATACTTATTGATTTAAAAGGTTTTTGGCAATTCACTTTTTTTAACAGTTTGTTTAGATTTTTTGGATTAGGGTAGATTAGATCTGACGATTTGAATAGTGGGGTATTAAGGATTGCGCCTCCGGTAGTGTCTGTCACTTATACATACTGGTTTATGTTATAAAATATGGTAATATATTTCAAGTAAGTTAAAAAAAAATATCATTGCATTTTTAGATAAAAATGGTAGAAAGACCATAATACTAAAGTTCGAAAAACTAACGAAGGTAAAATAGACCACCCGCTCTGTTTTGGAGTTAAAAAAGGTGTGATTTTATTCTTCATCTCTACTTATATAAGTTCCAAGTTCAAAGATTATAAGGAAGATAGCGGCCAGTTTAAGTGTCAAGTTTTTTAAGTAGCTTGTATACTTTAATCAGCAACTTGTTAACAACTTTTTTACTATCTTCCTCACTTTTAAAATAAACGACGAACTAAATTTGGTTTTTTTTGTACTTTATTACTTGTTAATAATTTGTGGTTTGGATTATGGGAATTTAAGGGATTTTAAATCTAGTTTTTCCGTTGGTAACAAATGCATTTTGATACTTAAAAAAACTCATTCAAAATAAAAATCGTATCGATTTCTTTTTAATAAATAGATATATATTATATAACTAGCTACTCTCGCGCGGTTTCACCCGCTGCTCGGCTCCATTTAATCGTAACATGATGTTTTATAGCCTATAGCACCCAGGAACATTGTAGCTATCTATCTGTGAAAGAATTTTGGCAATCCGACCAGCGCTTCCAAAGATTACCCCCTACATAAAAACTTGCAAACTTAGGTACAAAATTACAAATTTAACCTCTTTATAATATTATTATAGAAAATACATTTTTTTTATTTCACAAACAACAATAAAGTAAAATAAACAAAAATTCAAATTTAGAATATAAAGTCTATTGCGTTTATAATTTAGATACAGTCAGAGAATTAGTCGCCTATTCTAAATAAGGGTGGGTTTACCGGGCATGGATAAAATGTAACGCAACACCGGCACCGGTTTTAGTGGAACAAGTAAACTCTGCTAATAGGGGTTAATACCTAAGTGTTGTGCGAAACAGGTGCGGGTCGAGAAAGGTTTCTTACGAAACTACCATTAGCATACTCTGTGATTTTGGTGACGAGACGTGATTTTTGGTACGTTCGACTAAAGGATGAAAGTTTCATAAGACACATTTATTATATAATAATTTTTAATTGTTGTGTTACATTTACGTCACGTTATTAGTGAGACAGTTTAGATAAATTATTATGTTTAGCGGATTTCGTATCGGATTGTCAAGCTAGCTCGACTAGTTTCACGCTATGTTAGGGGCTCATATTAATGAGCGGTATAGTACGAAACATGTCGCGATAACGTCAATTGGCTTCGCTATGTTCGTTTTGTGGCGGAAAAAATAGTCATTGGTTAGTTTTAAGTAAACTCAAAACTTAATAAAATCCAATAATACTTCTAATCTATTTTCCACACATATTTGTACAATTGTTGCAATGCAAAACCATTATTAAAACACCCTACAGTTTTATCCTATGCAAAAGTATTTGAGAATGTATGGATGTATATATGTCATTATTTCACACAAAAACGGCTGGACTGAATTTGTTAAAATTGATATGTAGATAAGAGATACACTGAATTAGGACATAGCTTTCTTTTCATCAACATAACAGGCGGGCGAAGCCGTAGGTGGAAGTTAATACTCAATTTCTTTATTGCTTTACCATAAGTACATATAAAGGTGGTTATAATTTGTGAGAGAACAATTATGGACACTGTAGGGCACAGAAAAATAAGGCAACAGGAGATTAAGTAAGTACATAACTTTATATCGGACTTCTAGTCAGCCTACATCGAAACTAGATACTCATCGACTATGTCCCAGCACTAGAAAAACGAAAGAGTTTGTAGAGTGACTAAAAAGAAATTTATATCGTGCCAGTGAGCTTAGGTCCCTTACATGCTGTAAAGGTCCACTGAGTGGAATTTATTTCTATAGTACTCTCGGGCTATGGGCAGCTTGTGTGCGAGTTACTGGCCAGTGGTGTTTAGCGGCGATACAGGTGAATTACATTAATAGTAACTAGAACTAGAGGTGAAGTGCTAAAAATGCATTCCGTTTTCCAGTTGGGTTATGAGGAAAATAAAGTTTAATAAAAATAACAATGCTTCTATGTTAAAAACATATTATGCAATAATTCTACCGATTTAAATGTAACTTGCAATGCCTATTGTAATTTTACGAACATTGAGATCCCTTTTTATGAGTGCATGCGGATTTGAAACCTTGCAAATACCAATGTGATGTGTTCCATGTTATATGCACTTCCAAATATATTTTAAGTATGATAGAGGCAGGCTTCGTCACAACAGCATGAAAGAATGAATAACCTTAGGAGTTTACCGGAGGACCGATACTTTCCCTGCCCAATCCCTTAATTTACGAAATCTTTTTTAAAAGGTCAGAAATCCAGTTGTTCCTTTTCTGGTGTTGCGGGTGTCCATGGGCGGCGCCGAAGGCTTATTATGAGGTAATGAACGCGTCCCTTGGCCACATCACATCAAATTAAAAAAAATGTAGACGTTTCCAGATCTTTATAATTTGCTTTTGTAAGTTAATTTTAGATTTCATAAATACTCGTTCTCAGGAAAATGCATGCCGTGGCAGCCTTTAATTAAAACTACACTTTAAAATGTTTCACAGAAATGTGTTATGGTGTTAGCTTTGTTGGTTGTCCTTAAATAAATAAAACATAACTGATAATCTATGAAGGAAATTATCGTGAAAATAGTTAAATTTCTAATTATAAAATTCAATCCACATTGACAACCTTGTTAATGAATGCTCAAAGCTTCTCCATGTGAGAGTCTTTGCTCAACTTGTAGGTTTATGAAGTGATGCGAAAATCAACTTATGATTTTAAAAAGTTGAGTCAATTTAGAATTTTCAAGCATTTAAATAAAATAATGATAATGATGATAAGAATCTGATATGCTTATTAACATTTGAGATTTGACGTTCAAAAGTGCCTTATTTTGTTAGTTACTTCGACTTTGACTTTGATTTTGAGGATAATGATCTGGCTCTTTCATGTTAATGGTTCGAGGTAAATATAAATCTTTTGTTTTTCTCTACTATTGATGTCTTTGATAAACTTAACCCTCAATTACACACGATATTTTTCTATACACTTTCAGTCCTATTTATTTCAAGACAGAAAAACCAATACGAGTTTATTTATCGGGAACAGGTTAATTCTTGGATTTAAAACAAATATATTTTATTCCGAAATATAGGACAAGAAAAGTTTCACATATTTTTATGTAATGTGTCGGCAAACGTTCAAACTGATAACCTGATGGTAAGCAATCAGCTCCGCCCATGGACACTCGCAACGGAGGAGTTACGAGTGCGTTGCCTACCTTTAAGGGATTAGGGTTTTGGAGATTTAGGGATTGGGAGGGATCGGGGGAGGGGAAGGATTGGGTCCTCACTCACACGGCGAAACACAACACTGTGTTAGCATATTCTTTTGTTTTAGTGAATAAAAGAAAAAATCATAATTACCTGTTACGAATACACTAAAAAATGTGGCCAGCCACCAGGCCGCTTTCGTCGACGACGGTGAAAACATGTGTCTGCCGATGATTATTCTGTAACAAAACATAATGTACATTAGCTAAGCCAAGGTGTTATTTTCATATGATTAAAGGTAGCCGTATAATGTTACTTGCTTTCTGATAAGTTAAAATATAACGAATCATCATAGTGCCCACTGCTGAGCAAAGGCCTCTTCTCATACGGAGAAAGTTAGAGTATTATTCACTCAATATTATAAATAGAAATGAGGAAACCTGGACTTATAGTCCAGGTTTCCTCACGATGTTTACCTTCACCCTATGTCAGTGGTGTCTAAATAATCATAGAAAGTACATATAACTTGGAAAAAGTCACATTACTACTTGCCAGGTTTCGAACCCACACCCTCGTGCATGAGAAGCGGGCTCCTTAACCTCATCCGTCATTCTATACGACGATGCAAGCTAGCGCATAAGGAACTATTCCTTGGAACTTCGCTCAGTTCGTATTAATAACACATCATGTTTTTATGAGTTGATTTGAAAAAATAATGTAATTAACATGAAAATGTATTTAATATTTATGTAACTGGAACAATCCATGTCAACATAAACTAAATAAATAAATAAAATAAGACCATATTTTCGTTCAGTTAAATAGTAAACAGTTGTAGCCTGCTGTATTACGAGACCCTGCTGTATTATGAACTCTTATCTGTGTGTAAACAGAAATTTGTCATCAAATCTGAGACCACGCGAGTTCAATTGCCAGGTCAGGTTATAATTAGATTGTATGATCTACAATCTACAGGTGATTTCTCTATGTGCGTGTGTATGAATAGGTATGTATATGGCATATTATGTAAATACACAAAAGAGGAAAAAATCTAGATTTGAAAAACGAAGAATATAAATTAAAACATCTGAAGCCACATATATATTGTTTGCGTGTTCTCGACGTTACAGGGATACAAAGAATATTTCAGCCACATGACTACATATATGTACTTAGCGCCTTACACACAAATGTTGATTTATTTTCGTATCCAATGTTTACTTATATTACCATGCTGATCTCTGAATGGAATGAAAACAGAGCTTACGAATTTGTCATTTCAACGCGTAAGTCGATTGTGGAAACGTGTTCGACATTTTGTTTTCCACAAAAAGGGACGTCACAAGTTATCTGAAACGTAAACTTCGACGAAATAAGGAAGCGATTATATTCTTTGATCTTGAGTCTATGGTAAGTCTGTGTTTTTTTTTCATTGCTTGTTTCATTTTATCGGTGAAAAAATAAAATTTTACCAAGCATTAATACAATACTGCAAAATTGGCATCGTGGTGATGCCAATTTTGCAATATTGTGTATACCTAGTATAAAACAAAGTCGCTTTCTCTGTCCCTATTTATGTTTAAATCTTTCATATTATGCAAACAATCTTGATGTAGTTTTTAATTAATAGAATGATGAAAAGAGAGCTTTATACATATTTATAATAATACCCATATAGCAGTGGAGAAATTTAGTAACAGTATTACAGGCGTGTAAATCCGGGGCGGGACGCTAGTAAATCATAATAATTGAAAGCAAAGCTATGCACCTAAACATTTATGCCCTATAAATAGAAGCACATTAATATCGTATATTTTAGTTTCCACCATCACCAATAAGGCATCAAGAAATACGAGTAAGCACTTTCAACGCAGAACGGTTCTAACCTCAAGATATCTCGATCCATGAGAGGGAATGCCTTACGAGTTGGACAGCGCTTGTTTCAAAATTATAGGTGCAAGAAAAGCGGTCTGAGGCAAGTTACTGCAAGACGTGACTTTACAGTGTTCCTGAGAATCTTACGTCCAGTTCGCGAGGATATTCGATAAGATAAATTGAGCTCACAGCTCGATAGGTCTGCTCGAAGCTATTTACGGTAGTAGTTAATAAGGATGCCTTAGGTAAAGATAAAGTGAAGTAACAGTTATAAGTATTATATCTATAATAATATAAATGTAAAATTTGTAAGTTTGTATGTAAGGGGTAATCTTTGGAACCGCTGGTCGGATTACCAAAATTCTTTCACTGGTAGATAGGTACAATGTTCCTGAGTGCTATAGGCTATAAAACATCACGCTACGATTAAATGGAGCCGAGCAGCGGGTGAAATCGCGTGAGAGTAGGTAGCTAGTAACTCATATAGAATGAGTAAATTCTTCGGGAGTGTTATCATTACATATGTTTTGTGCTAATACAAAGGCATGTGTGGTTTGTTGTACAAATATGACGCATGTCTATAAACTATATCAATTCTAATATAATAAAGAGGTAAAATTTGTAAGTTTGTATGTAGGGGATAATTTTTGGAACTGCTGCGAGTATTTCCAAAATTCTTTCTATAATCAATAGTTACAATGTTCCCGAGGGCTATAAAACGTCATACTACGGTCTATAAGAGCCGAGCAGCGAAAAAAACTGCGCGCGAGAATAGCTTGTTACTTTAATAGATTCAGATCTATCTCTCTATCATGAATTGTTCTGAATCTATCATCAATTATTTCATATTCTGCGAAATAATTTAGTTAAAAGAGTTGTTTTTCAAAATTCAATTTTAAGCTCTCTATTCGACTGTCTGTTTTTGCTATCTATCTGCCCTAGATTTGTTTCCAATATTTCATTGTTTTTGTTAATGAGTTTTACTGGAATATTTTATCTAAATAAAGGTCATCCATTTCGCAGAAATATAGTATTAAAAACAGAACTATCAGCCGTTGTGTTTAATAAAACAGTAGAGTAACAAATTACGCAGTAATTGCTTCCAATCTTCATCTTCATCGGCGCAGATCTGAAGATATTACAATGTTCCCGTAAATCTTATCACGCAGAATATTCAGAGATATAATAGGAAACGGATCAACAGCCCTCAAAGGAGATGAGTTGTAGCTGCGTTGATATAATTTGTATTTTATTGGAACAGATGGACTGAGAAATAGTATATACAAAGAAAATAGTTTATTGCCAAATAAAATTACTTGTTACAATTGTACCAGCTAACTAGCATTATTAAATTTTATTTACTCCTTTAAACTTTTCAGTTAATAAGTTCATAATGTCTGAAGGTGGTTACCTAGAAAATCCAGATGGGAACGGTGTGTTGAAAAAAATGGAAAACAATATATAATTAAACATGAATTTATTTGTAAACGCACCCACAACACAGGTGAAAATTCTAATGTGAGGCAAACAAAAAATGTCAAAAATATTAAAAACTTAAATACATAAGTGTTGTGCAAAAAGTCAAGACCTCAATGTTGCCGGTATTTATGAGTGGCCTCAATGATCTGTATGCTATTTTTGATAACTTAATCTATAAAATAAATCATTTACTAATTAATTAATTATAAAAAGTGTTGCCTTGCCATACATTGATACGAGAAGAAATCACCTGAAATTTACCTGAGCGATGCTTTTTTGTATTTTATTTAGTATCTCGTTCAGCCTTTAACGGTGTCGTTAAGCCAGTATGAAGCGGATACAAAGTGTTTAAATAACAACTGCTAGCTTTTAAGACAGGAAGTCCAAGCCTAATAGAATTAAAACTTTAAAAGTTCGACGCTTTCCTTTATTGTTGTAAACGGTAGGAAGTTAAATTTTATAGTTTACATTTTGTGGAAAAAGTCTTGCTAAAGCTATTCGAAGAAATTAATTAAAACGTTTTTTTATTACTGTTGGAAATTGACAATGTTTTAACCGGCACTTAGGACTAACGAGTAGAGAAGTTACTCGCTTGAAAAATAGTCATATTTACGGAAACTCAGAAATGTACTGAACAAAAACATTCATTAATCCTGTCGTGTTGAGAGTTTGTGAGCTTTTGATTAACAGCAGACAAATTGTACTTGTTTATGTTGCAAATTAATATTTTGCTAGATGTGTTTATTCGAAGCAAAACTATTTAAATTAACTAACTAGCGTAGCTATACGTTTTAAACAAAAAAAAAAATGTTTTCAATACAACAAAATATTTAGTCATACACAAAATAATCATAAACATACATAAAGCTATAGAAAAGCATCATTTTTGACATTCTATAAAATATATTGTAATTAATAACTAACAACTATTTTAATACGCATAGGTATACATACGAGTAGGTATATTACTACATTACAACAAGTTACGTATACATGTGTTAGAATTTACGAAATGAATGTAATAACATGAAATTGTTTTCTAGATCTTTGATTTATTTTTACTCCCTACATTTACCAGTCTTTCAGCGTGGGTTTGATTTGTGTTAAACTTTAGTATATACAATAATATAATCGGTCATATCGAAGTGGTAGCGAATCTCACCTTCTGGCATTTAAAGGTGAAGGTTAAGAAAACTACAGTAAAATAAAAGCAACAACTATAACGCTGTCAACTATGAAAAGAACATGTCAAATGCCATGTTATTGTCACACTGGTTTTGATAAGTAATAGATCTTATCGTGGTTTGAAGTATGAATCATATTTAAACGAACGTAAAGTACAATTTACTGTAAGTGAACCGTGCCTAGCCGGGATTAAGGGGAAAGCACAATAAGGTGCGGTGCCTCGGCCTGGAACAGGAGTAAGAACTAGATTTCTTTTAGTCATTTAGAGTCGGACATTCCCTATGGCCCAACTAGGGATGGAAAAGACGACACTATAGTGTTGTAGTAGTATATGACTTCTAATGTTAACAGAATAAGACAGATATCTACTTAGTTACTGTTGAAATAGTTGAGTCAATTTATCATTTGAAATTATTATAATAGTATGATTTAGTTAAATGAAAGAAAGATAAACATTTATTTCATTCGCTACAAAACAAAAAACAAGTACAAAGACTTCAGAAGTACATGGACACAATGGTGTGGATACATGCTCCAAGGCCGCGCCAAAATTGGGCACCAGTTCAGTATGTGAAAGACAGGGCCTTCCGCTAGTATTCTACTGTGTAGATTGATTGGATAAATCGCGGGCGACAAGCAGCCGGAGAACAGAATATAAATAAAAATTAAGTATAAAAACAAAACATGCAAATA